TATATATATATATATATATATACATATACATATATATATATTATTTAGGGATTGATGACTCTTTCATCTGATGCTGCTACATTGTACAATAAGGTGGAAGCGACTCTGAAGGTTCAAGAACGTTATTTCAAGAAAACACTAAAGCAACATTCGCAACATTCCGCAAAACATTACAAGGACATTCTTAAAAGAAACGAGTCGTTGCTTCGCAGTCCGTGTTGCAGTCAATCACGACAATCCAATACCAGGTTAATACACGAATTTTGTCATGCATGATTTTTAAGATGTGATTCAATGTAATTCGAAAAAATTTTTTTTATTTATATTATTATTATTACACACACACACACACACACACACACACATTTTATATATATATATACATATTTGCAGCAAATCTGATGTCATGGATTTGGAAATCGAGTACAGTGTAACAAACTTATCTCACCAGAATGTTTTACCGGTGGCTCGCGGTCTCATCGCGCTCATTTTACATAATTCGGCTAATGTGGATATGTTTCTATTAGCTTGCAAGGTAAGAAATTTGAAGATACACAAATATGCAATAGCATGGATTCTTATCAGGCTCTATATTGTAAGATTTGATTTATTTAAAATTTACTTTAACTCGATAAAAAAATGTTGAGTTTTGTTATTCGTGACATTTTCTTTCTCAAAATGCACAAAATTATATTGCTATAGTAAATATTTTCAAAATGCTACAGTTTGTCTTAGAAGAAAAAAATTTTATTTTGTGCAAATTTGTAGAGCTCTGTATGTGTTATTTATTGTTTTCACAATCAGGTTTGTAATTTATAAATCTGATATGTTATGAAATACGCAAAAGGAAACAAATTGTACACAGATTGTAGAATATGATTCTTTTGATGTCTCTTAACGGCATTTAATTATATAGATAAAGCAATTGGATTTACAATATCTACGTGGCTTTGTAATTATACGTCTATAATTATATTTTTGAATTATCGTACATAGGTAGTCGCTAGGCTAGTAGTATCTACACGTCCCGCAATAGGCTTGTGCGAGCTTATGACCGAAGAACAACTCTTGAAATTAATCAGATTGGCAACGGACACATCTGACGCTGCTTGGTCATCGCATGCTGTTTCTTGTCTTCTAATGGACCTATTAGAAGGTAATTATAATTTATATCACTTCTTTATCACGAAAAAATAATTATAAATAATTTATAATATTATTATTTATAAATTTTCAAGATATAATTTATAATACTTCGTTTACATAATAAATCTTTAAAATATTAAAAAATGTGCTCTCTATCTTTTTTCTTGAAATAAAATAGTAAATCCCAGCGATTTGATTAAAGTGCAAAATAGATAGATAAATTTTAATTTGCAGGAGGACGATTGTATCCTAAAGCGTGTACTTCTACGCATGAAGGTAGTCCGTCTGAAGAGATTTTGGAGACTCTGGGGAGTCATACGGACGAAAGTCGTACGGAGGAGGACTCGACCAATGTCGCTAGTACTAGTGCACCTTCTACTGCTACATTAGGTGAAGGATTTACCGAAGGTGATGCGGACGAGGATGTGCAAGATAATATCGTAGTAACTTCAACCACTCCAGGCACGTCAAAATCCAATGGTTATCTCCCGTCCCTTTTGGAATCGGACGATAGCGAATTGGAAGACTTTTTGGACGACATATTGGAACGTGGCAGAAATATGTTGAAGAAAGACAGCACAGTATCGAAAATTTTAGCTTCTGCCATTGCTGGGTATCTTTTCTTTTACTGTTTTATTCTATATCTAAAAGAAAACTTTTAATAACGGTTGATCCTTAGACACTAATGCCTTTTTTTCATAATGTTAAGTATTAGTGTAGAATGTTTCCAGTAGTTGTGTGGATATTATTACAGACTATATATATATATATATATATACATATATGAAGCAATACTTTGTTTAACTTAACATAGCTACGTTTGTATTCAATGTATACTAACTTATAACAATTTCCGTGATAAAATAGTTTGAATTTTAGAAAAATTTCACATAGGATCTCACTTGTATTCAGTATCAGTATTTAAGAGTATAACAACTTGCTTTTCACTTTATGACCTAATTAGAAAATAAATAAATGATATATTTTTAGGAGCATGTCTTTAGCGATGGACGCACGCTTGGAGTACGGAGTCGAAATGGGCGTAGAAATTTCACTGAGAATACTTGCTACATTTGGCATATACAATCTACCTCATAGCATAAATGCAACAATACACGTTAGTAATAAAAATAGAAAAGTATATGTTATCGATTTTTATTGATATATTTGTCTTATTTATATTAGAACAATTAGGATATTACAATTAGGATATTAATTTCTTTAAATGAGCTATAGATGTTTTTAAAACTTCTTAGTAGGGAAGAGAGATAATTATTAATGTTTGTTAAGAAATAATTATTGCAAAGACATGCTATTATATGAATCGAATATAGGTACCAACAGAAGCAAATCGCTGTTGTCAACAACCGTTCTTGCGTACCGAAACGAACGATAGAAGTCAAGAAACTGGGAACTTTTCTGACCCTACTCCTTCTAATCTTTCAATATTAACAAGATGTTTCGAAAAGATGTTCACGGACTTATATTTACGAGTAAGTTATTTATTAATGAAATAAAATACATAGGCTGCTTAACGCTCGCGAGTATCGTTTGTCCTTGTTTAACATTTGATAAATGACAAGAATGAAATGATTCCACAAACGTTGTGAGCGTTAAAGGGGGCGCAGCCACATTTGTGATATATTATTAGATCAATGCAGGTTTTTAAATTTTTGTTTTGAATAACGTTATTGATTTGGCTTCCCTTAAAAAATTTATTCTTGATGAAAAAATTATATTAGAATGATATTTCGATTAACACAATTATTTCTAAATTATATAATTTATTCAACTTTATATGATAAAATAAATCATATATTTATATTTTGTATTCCACTGATATCGTTTTAACAAGCATATAAACAATTAAATAAATAGTTTTATTCTTAGATATGAATATTTTGTATTAAATTATATTTTTTCTGAATACGTTATTTATAAAATGCATTTATATAATGCATTTTTATCTATGTCTCTGTATAACAGAATAACAGTACAAACTTGGAACTCGTTCTCCAACTTTGGTTTGCACTGAATATGGACGCTGCTACTGAACATCCAGGGTCACAATTTGAACCTTCTTTAACACCCTTGATTCCACTTAGTCCAGCAGCTATTTCTAGCTTAATATCAGCACTTTCGTGGTAAATTAATAAATAAATATATTGGTGATACGAGCCATGATAACATTTAATATGTTTCAAACTTTTGATATTAATATTTTTATTGTGTATTTAATTTGTATTAAATTTTAGGCACACTGAGGTTTCTTTACGCGCTTGGTGTCTTGCGTTGCAATGTTTAACTATCGTCTGCAATCAGCCGTTACGAAGATATTCTGGTTTAGACGGCTTTGCACCTAGTAGTCCTTCTATGGCTAGTTGTATTGTTAAAGAACGTAATACAGGCCCTATGTTGTTGCGCCTACTTTCCGGCAACGGATTAAATATTAATACAATGGACAAGCAATACATCATGGTGAGGATATTTTTTCATTTTATTATAAATTTTGGTGACATTGTTTAGTTGTCATATCAAAGATTTTGATCAAGAATTAAAGTTTCTTAGAAATTGCGTTTAAGATCATGTAATATGTTAAAAACTATTATAAAATTATAAAATAAAAGCTATAAAATAATGTCATAAAAAAGTAAAATTAAAATGTAGATTATATTAAGAAATCATTGGTAGCAGTATATTTTATTTATTTTTTTTTTAAATTTATCAAGTTTATCAAATGCGATTTGTAAAATCATATACCTCAACTAAAAAATTTATCGTTAAAGAATATGGTAAGCAAAGCAAGAATTCTGTGTACATATTTAAATATGTATTACTTAAATGTGATTCCTATAATAATTTATATATCGTATGAAAAAAATAGATTAATGTTTAGTTATACATTTTTTATCTTATTTATGATAATATTTCTATTTCAGGCTGGGCCTACAGTTTGCCAAGCATTACACGATTTTCTCGTTAGGCTGGAAATGATGTGTGATGTTATTACGACGGATAGCTGTTTAGGTAATTCCCTGAAGGATCTTCTACTGAAGGTGATATATCAACTTGTGCAACCAAGCGGACCTCTCATTTTAAGGAAGGGGCCTTTAGATGCGCAATGCAAACTAATAACATCTGTAGTTAATCTGAATTATGTCAATACTGACTTGGGTATCGCAATGAGTATATCGGAATGCGTTGGTGTATTGGTTTCGACATATGTCAAAGGATCCGAAGGTAAAGTTTTTTTTCTTATCAAATATTTTTATTATAAATGAAATTAACAATAGGAATTGCAATGTGAAGTTTTTAGTATAAAAAAAAATTAGTCTCCCACAGTCAATGTATTCAAAAGTTAATTGTTAACAAGGTTATACATTTTAAATAGATAGCTTTATACTGATATTGTACAGTTACTTTTTGTTTTGGATGAATTAAAGATTGTTTATTAAAATTATTTTACATATATATAATATAAAATTGTTTAAAAAATTATAAATATTGATTATTAATGATTTAATGTGATTGTCTTTGGGTGTGTTCAATAGATATAACGATTGAGCGTTCAATAATTGTTGCCTATAATTGGAATAGATTTTTAGATCTTTGATAAATCTAGAAAAATATACCAATAGTAGCAAGCGCTCAACTATGTCCGCTAAATGGGCTCTTTGTCTTCGTAAAAAGATTGCAAGAATATCAATATTATTCTAACAGTTGGCGCACAATGTGGAGGTGCAGTTGATTCAAACAATCAGTCCGGTAGTTTTGGTGGTCTGTTTGCTTGCGTGCTTGGCGGTGATGCGAGACAATGTCGTCCCGCATCGTGGGACACTTTAATTGTGGCTCTCATCAAATTAGTATGCACACTCATTCAGACTCCATTACCGAATGTATGTATTTTGCATTCAAAAGTTATCAAAGAAATGTATTTATATTGGTTTCTTTTTTTATAACATATAGAAAATGATTTTATATTTTTAGACTCGTCAAGATCCTTCGGAAGAATCGGCGGAAATGGAATTATCTGATACGACGTGGACTTCTAGAAGCAATGTAAGCGATTCTCAGAATGCAAACACTTGGCAAACGGATGAAAGTAAAGCGGCAGAGCAACGAAACTCTTTTCATTTACAACAACCTAAAACTAGCAAATCTTCTGTGCCTTGCTTGGCTGATACTGGTAACTACTAATTATATAAAAGACTTTAAATATATATTTATTCCTTATGTCAAGTACACTAAATTAAAAATTTTTATTTTTAAGTTTTGCAGCACGAGCCAACTATGATGCGTTTACTAGGCGCTCTTGGTCATAGCACAGGATCCTCGTTAGCTATGCTCTTAGGTGAAAGTGCGAGTGCAGCATCGACTACCGAGCTCGGCGATCCGGCTTCAATAGCGGATGCAACATTCCAGCTCCTTACGACCCTTACGAAAAAGGCTAGCGATCCAACTCTAGTTCTGAAGCCGCTTTATCACTATCTCTCTTCGTGTAAGAATTTATACATTATAGAATTGAGAGATTTATTATTAATCATATGCTGCGCGAAAAAAATATAGCATACAATCTTTTTATATAAAGTCTTGATTTTGGAAAAATAAAATAATTGTCATACGATTATTTGCAGCATGCGGTGAAATTGAATTAGGAGTTATGCAGCTATCCGAACCCCTTCTTTGGTATATCCTAAGGGTGTTGGACAACGCATCATCGTTATCTATTTTTACTGCGATGGGTGGCGTAAAAGTGCTTTGCGAAAATCTTGTGAAATCAAGTAACAGCGGTACCGCCGGTGCTTCCGTTTCGTCAGGGGTGATCGCCCTCGTCATGGAACATCTATCGAATGCGCCAAACGTGATGCAAATGATGGCGAGCAGCAGCAAGAAAGGCGTTAGCTCGTTGGAAACTCACGACGACGGTTTATTAAATTTCGCGCCTCTTGGAACAATATCATGGTTGAATCCGACTGCGCAGCCAGCGGATGTTCTTATACAGAACGCCACACCTCATAAACGTGCGAGAACACCGGCGTGGTCGTATCATTTTTATCCCGACGAGGCGTGGGTCGATCTCACCATCACTTTACCGTGCGCTATCCTGCTTAGGAAAGTGGAGTTACAACCACATCTTACGGCGTTATCCAGTAAGTTGATTGTATCCTAATTTATATGCAAAAGTTGACGAAATTCTCAAGATTTCGAAATTCTCATGATATATACTTTTATTCATATTTCTACATTAGCACTTCTCTTATACATTCGCCTTGTTTGAATGTCAATACTGAGAAAGCTTATCATAGAATCTAATTTTTAATTATTTCTACAACAATAATACAGGATATTCTTTATTAAATACGTTTCTTTCAAACTGCCAATTCTTTCCAAATTAAAAAAAGTTTTATAAAAAAATTGATTTAAGGTTCTGCAAATAATTAGCAAATCAAGAGAAATGCGATTGATGAGAGATATTCCTTGTAATTAAAAACAAAACTTTTTTTTAATGCACGCATATTTGTCTGACAGCGTGTCCATCAGCTGTAGCGTTGGAAGTTTCAAGAGAGAGTAATGGTCCACTTACACCGGTTTGTCCACCAATGCCAACGGCGGGCTTAACATACATACGCGTTACTTTATCACAGCCAGAAGTCGCGACTTCCGTATTGGTGCGTCTATACAAACCGCGGGATTCGACAAACATAAATCTTAGTCAAATAAGATTACTGGGTACCACCGCGTTTGGCGAGATTAAAACGAATCCGGACACGATAGATGAAGAACAGCTAACGAAGACTAGGTAACATTATTTTCTCTCTCTTGTCCTAGAAGTAAGACTATTGGCGTTATGGGTTAAAGATTTATCACGGTTATGAGAAATTAAGAAATTTATTTCTGATAACATTTATGTAGCTTGGGTTGGCTGAGATTATTGCATCAGTGCTTATCGGTAAGCATACTGAACAGTAATCTAGCCGTCGAGGTGCTTAATTCCGCGGCTTCGGTCGAAGGCCTGGTCGAGGCATGCTGCAATCTCCTGTTACTCCCAGCACCGTCTCTTTTTACTCCCAACCTGGAGAGGGTTCTATTACAACTTGGCTTACACTCTCGAGAGCTTGGACTTCGTCTCATTGGTCTTTTACTCAACAACAGGTCTACCCCTTTCTTTCAAGGTATCGCTTTATTTTCCGTTTTCTGCAAATAAAATCCGCAATGGTCTTAAATATAGATGTAGCGATCGCGATTAAGCTTTTTGAAGGCTCACGTTTTAAATTATTTAGTTAAACTCTTCAAGCAAGTATAATATGTTACGAATGACGAAAAGATAATTCTTTTTTTTTTAAATCAATATTAATAGTGAGAGGAAAGGCAAATGAAAGCACCATTGTAATTATTAATAATGTAAATTTAATAATATTTTCAAGTTTATATTAGTTATTTTAGTCCGTGTGTGGAATGTATATGTTATCAGACTATAGATTGACGATGACGATTAATGATTGCTCGATTCTACTTCAACCAATCACGATGTAGTGAGTCCATTGTAATTGATTGAAATAGAATTGGGCAACTGTCAATCGTAATCGTTAATCCGTAGTCTAATACTTCCCTTCTACAATCCTTATTCTCAATATTCTCGATCAAACGTTTCAACCATCTTCAGCGAATAACACATTAGATAAAATTACCAGAGATTCTTGTTAAATCATATGTGATTACATATTTCAGCATCGTGAATGTCCTTTCTTAATAATTATTCTGTTAAAATTAGTTCAGCCAAGTGCAAGAGTGCGTTAAAATTTAATATTAATAAGTGAAAAGTAATCCAAATTTATATTAATAGTCATTAGACAATCAATCCGCATTAAGATATACAAAGCAACTCTTTTTTTATTTATGTTTGAGATATATTATATATATGATAATATATAAATGTATAATATATAAATTAGAGACTAAATAATTTTTTTAATATTTACAAGTAAAACTGATAATATTTGCTGATTTATTCAGTATTTTTATATTCAGTATTTATAAAAATTTATTTCACTTTGAAGTCTTTATATAATAAGTATTAATTTTATTATAATATTACAATATTAACGAAAATATCTATTGCTTAAGATACCACGAATATTAGGCTATTTTTAAATTAAATATTTAATTATAATCAAATTAAATATTTAACAATAATCTCTTCTTTTAAGCTTGTGACGATATACTAAAATATTTGTGCTGATATTGACAGGAGCTGTGACTTCCCAGGAAACGTCCATCGTACAGTTGGTCGTTGAATTGCTTCAGCAATTGTGTTCCATTCGAGACTTTAGCACGGAGGCTCGCATGAAAGCCGTTCTTACGTGGTTGCAAATATCGGCCGCGAATGGAATATCTCAGACGAACAGTAATCCCAATTCAGTGAATCCACCAGCGGTATATATTCATTGTGTGTCTTCTATCATTTGGAAGGCTCATCAACAGCAGAATCACAACTATGATCTGCAAGTCTTGCTGACAGATGAGCTGTTCTAGTAAGACTTTAATCACATATTCTTTTGTGTTTCAAACTTTTCTATCCGAACATAAGTTGATTTATTTTATAAATATATATAAATTTTATTTTGGATATCTTTGATCTTCCTTTATAATAAAGAATTCGAATATTATAATTAGTTGAATATTGTAAATTATTGTATATGAGATAGTTTTCATATAAGTTATTTTTCTTATAAAGCTATTTAACGTTTATTGCATTCAATTCTTTAATTAATTCTAATTTTTTTTCGTTAAACAGCTCGTTGTACAAATGGACCTTGACTCTTGGAAATAATTCAGCTTTGAAACAAGCGATTGATTCTGTCCTGTGCGCTTTCTGTTACGTGAGACCATCGTTGTTGATTTTGCTTCTGGAATGGGTACAAATCTTGATACCGAATATCGTAAATCCGACTGCTTCTATATCCGATGACTGCAAGGAAAGCGAAGAACAGACAGATGATAAGAAAAGCGATATGAACACCGAGGGATGGTATTGTCAGTTTATCTTGCTGAAACATAAATGGTTGCATTTGACGGAGGGACAATTGCTGACTGTCGCAGCAGCGGCTCGTTCACCACCCGGTACTCAGCAACTGATCGATTCTGGTCTTCCAGCGTTACTGACAGCATCGATTACAGGTTTAACTTTTCTTTCTATTTCAAATACAAAAATCTGCTTTAAACAATCTATAATTTGTGACAAAATTCTGAATATAATTTGACATATATACCTTCCATTAAGTATCATTTTTATTGAGAGAGACATAATTTTATGTTAAATTTTTAAAAATTGTATTACAAATGTATTTTTTGTATAAAAATATATTGTATTTCGAATTAATTGTGCTAAAATGCTTTTAAATGCATTTCAAGCAAATTTGTTCAGAATTTATTATTAATGCAGTAATATTTATGCATTTAGATTTCTGTAATCTGGAGAAATCCAAACAACGAGATAGTAAAATGGCATCGGGCGACAGCAATGAAAATAATGTAACTGAAGATGTCAACTCGACAGATAATGATAAGGCAGCAGGTTCGAGTTCCGGATCAAACAATTATTCTGGTAAACATTGACATTACACATTGTGATATTTTAGAAGTTTATTTCTAAACCTATATGTTCAAACTGTTTAAAGACGGGAATAATATAGACAGGAATTATAATATTCTTTTTCTCTTTTAGGTGGATTATGTATGACGAAATCAGAGAGTATAGCGATAGTGATAGAATTCTTAACACTCGTATGTGCGGAAGGTAGAATGCGTGATTGGCTTGGTGAAGAAGGTCGTAGTTTCTGGTTACCACTTCTATCGCTTCTTAGTAATCGTCCTATTGAAAGTCCATCTGCATCTGCGTCAAGGTATACATGTTTACATAATCTTTAGATATATTAGATTAAAGACACGGTTGCATCAATGTATGCGCAAAAACCGTGATACTGTGCTATACATTGCCATCATCATCATTGGATTCAAATCGAGCTTTAATTTCCTGGAAAAGTCATTATATGCAGACTTTGGCTTCTTCTTTGTTATGTTACAATTGTAATTTTTTTTATATACAAAGAAGAGTTGTAAATCTTTTGCCTTATTTTATATGTATTATTTGTATTATTTGTATATATGTATTATTTGTTTTTTTGTAGTTGTTCGAAAACAAGCGCATCATATGCATTACTGGAAAGCGCTATGATTAAATTCTTATCAAGATGTTGTTGGTGTCACTTGGCTAATCAAAAATTACTGGCGAAGCTTCTTATCGAAGTCATTTCTCAACAACGAACTACTTCAAGTAAGTATATCGTATATTACAGTATCGAAAGTTTGCATAATTTCAAGTTTCCCTAAGTATAATTAATAAATTGAGGGGAATCAGCGCATTTCGGATTAACATTATTATAATTACAGGTGTACGGTATCTTCACGGCATTTCTGGATTTACGCGAAGATTAATTCTGCAACTGCTTTTGGAAGGAGAGAAGGTATTGGTTTCTGTAACGTCGGAAGCTCCTATGAAAGTTTCAGCAACCGCAGCCAATCACAGTATGCCATCCATGCCTCCACATCCTGCTCATCCTCTCGGTCATTATCATCAATTATTATACATGTCGACACAAGCAACAGTGGCAGATATATTACAGCAAGTATCAGGTATGTATCTTACGTACGCAATATTATATTAAAAATATGTAAGCAATTGATAAAAAGTAATAATTAGTTAAAGCAAAAATGAATAGAATAAGCAAGTATTAAAAAAGATTTACCAATGTTTTCGATTTATTATTATGAATACTAATACGAAATTTAATTTTTAAGGGACGTGGCTTCTCTTGTTACTTCCGAATACGTATAAGGGTAACGAAGCAAGTTCCAATGGAAATAATCGGTCTCGTGAATTCTGGGAATCGGGAATGACTTTAGTAGTAGACACACTTAGCGTGGCTGCTGGAAACACGGCGAAAGACAAGCGGGCTAAAGAAGCATCAAATAGGTCACAAGCTCGAGGTCCTATAATCAGAAAAACGCGTTTAAATTCTGGTACGTTTGTTTACTTAGAAGATAGAGATACCACATGTATCTTCACATCTTAATAATGCAATAAGTGAAAGAAATCTGTTCAATAGAACTGCGCACACACACACACACACACACACACACACACACACACATATTACGTATTACTTAAATTGAATAAGTATTTATTAATATTACAGTATTTATTAATATTACTTATTTTTGTATTGATTAACAGATGGAACGCCGGTAACGAGTAAAGCCTCATCTAATAATGCACAAACAAACCCAACCAACACGACGAATCAACAATATCTAATACATTCGTCTCGTCCTAATACTCCTTTACCACCTCAACTTACAATCGCGCAACTTTTAGCGATCGCTGAGGACAGTGGTGTTTCGTTGTCTGAACCGTGCTTACATCTCATTTTACGTCAACGCAGTAAGGATTCCAAAGGTATCTAATTTCTTTTTGTTTATTTCGTGAGTAATATATGACAAAACTGTTCGCATTATCTCAATATTAATCGTTTGAAATTGAAAGAGTACGAATGTTTTCGTGGTTTACATAAGTCCATGCATTTGGTTACAGAAGACGCGGCGAAGCAAAACGACAGTGAACTGTTGAACTACAGAAGCATAGAAAGTTCGTTAGGCGTCTTCAGCGCGGGTGGTGGATTGGCGGTGTTGGCGCGCCATTTACCGCTGGTATATCCGGATCCCGGCAGGCCGTCGTTCTTCGTCGAGAAGTCACCGTCGCCGGAGCAGACCGATGCCGACTGGGTAAAATTGGAAACCAACGATGACATTTACGAGGCCTTGGAAGAGGGTAGAACGAATTGTCCGCCGAAGGTGTCAGTCCCTGCCCCATACGTGCCACCGCATTCTCTCGCGGCTTTCGGTCTATTTCTCAGATTACCAGGCTACGCCGAGGTGCTACTGCGGGATAAGAAACGGGCACAATGTCTGTTGCGACTCGCTCTCGGCGTTTCCGACGACGGTGAAGGTGGCGAGGTGCTGACTTCGCCATTGGCCGCCTCGTTGCCAACCTTGCCGTTTCAGGTTTTAAAACAGTTGTTGGATGCCACGCCACCGACCACCGATGACGGTCTGCTTCTACGAGGAACGACCATAGAAGTGGGCGCTATGCTGCTGCTCTTGAATTGCCTGGCGATATTCACACATCAAACTGGACAGAACGACGGTTCAACTGAGCATAAAACGGGTCAGAGTGGCGGTGTCGGCGGTAGCAGTGGAGGACGTAGTGATGATAATTCACATCTGTATTGGGCGAAAGGTACCGGCTTTGGTACTGGGTCTACACAGCAGTCGTGGAATGTCGAGCAGGCGTTACTACGTCAACGATGCGAAGACGAGCACGTGACGGTACTACTACAAGTTCTTGCCAGTTATATCGGCACATCGGGAGGCGGGCAACCACAGCAGGAGTTACCAGCTTCTTTCTCCGATTTACTAGCGCGTTCTTGTCTACTGCCGGCGTTATCATCGTACCTGCGGAATGATTCCGTTCTAGATATGGCCAGGCACATACCTCTTTATCGCGCGGTCCTGCAACTGCTTCGTGCCATGGCTCTCTCTAGTCAATTAGCACCGCTTTTGTTACCGCGCGGCGGTAGATCTGGAGAACCATCCGTGGTGTCCCTCTTGTCGAGCATGAAAGTGTGCGTGGACACTTATGTAAACAAGATAAATCGCACGAGGGGCAACAAAACGAACATGAAAGTGGTATCCAAGTATCCCGATGATACTGAGCAAGACGAAGGCTTGGCCACACTAATTCCCGATATACAAGACAGTGCAACTATAGTGCAAAATGCTACATGTCGATTATCTGGTATCGGTGAAGAATTACCTGGATCAAGCCCGACGGCGCCGGAATTACCATTGCGCTCAAGTCTGGAGCACCGATATCTGGAAGTAATGAAAAATCTACAATTTGGTAAGTCCTCAACTTAATATAATGAAACTCGCTTATCTCCAAAATATAGAAAAGATATATTTAATAATTATATTAGATAACTTAAAATGTTTGTGTAATAATACGATTTACATACATATACTTAGTTACTTCTTTAAAAAATCTTAAAATTTTTATTTTAGAAATCTTTATATAATTATAAATTTGAATTTATTGAGAATGCGAAACTACTCGTAATTATATTTAAAAAATCCATATAATTTTCAAAAGATTCTAGAATTAAATAATATCTGTAATAATAAGTAATAATAATACTGATAATTAATACTTATATTGGCACCATAGATACCTACGAAATGATTACCGAGAATCCAGATGGTGGAGGCTACAAATTTACCATTTCGTATCACTTCGAATCAAATATGAGAGCTGCCGGCGAGAGAAGTCATCCGACACGAGTGAAACGATTAGCTCAGGAAGCCGTTACGCTCTCGACAGCACTGCCTCTATCTTACAGCAGTAGTGTGTTTGTGAGATGCGACGCGGATAGATTGGATATTATGAAGGTATATCATCTTTTATATGACGCTTAAATCCTGCTGTCTCATTCGACTCTATTCATCAATTTTCATTTATAACACGTAATAATTTCATGAATATGACTTTGAATATCATAGAAGAAATGGACAAAAAACAGCAGGATTAATTAGTCATCTAATAACTGTTTGATCCTTAAGCACTGGAATGTATTTCGTAACGTTATTGTATTAAATCAAAATGTACATATGTAACTTTTATTTATTAAAATTATATCATGAAAAAGTTCTGAAGATGTCTAATTTTGTGCAAAATTTATTTTCTTAATTAGTGATACTAAATTATGATAGGAACACAAAATATAACTATTTGCTGTTGCAATTTTAATAACGCATACGCAAAAGAATATCTGGTTTTCGATATTCTGATGTGCTTAAAGATTAAATTTAGTAATTCAAGCATAGTAGTCTCTCGCATGTGCGCCGTAATGTAATACGATGTATAATTGTTAAAGGTACTCATAACGGGGCCAGCAGAAACGCCGTACGCAAATGGCTGTTTTGAGTTTGACGTATACTTTCCTCCTGATTATCCTAATAGCCCGATGTTAATAAATCTAGAGACGACCGGCCGTCACACCGTGCGCTTCAATCCGAATTTATATAATGATGGGAAGGTTTGTCTCAGCGTACTAAACACTTGGCACGGCCGACCTGAGGAAAAGTGGAACGCGCATACGAGTAGCTTCCTTCAGGTAAGCTCTTGAAGTCTGGTCAATTCTAGCATAATTATTTGTTAAGATTGATTTAGCGATCGAGACTACGATATCGCGTTTATCTATTTATAAATAGATCTTAGAGAGAATTAAAAAATTTTAAAAGAGGAAGATGTTAATTACACATCGTTATAACTTTGTTGAAAACAGGTTTTAGTATCAATACAGTCGTTAATCTTAGTGTCCGAACCCTATTTCAACGAGCCTGGATACGAACGGTCACGGGGTACGTCAAGCGGTGCTCAATCTAGTCAAGAGTATAATGCGAATATTTGTCAGGCTACTGCCAAGTGGGCGATGCTTGATCAAATACGCAATCCCTGTCCATGCTTCAAGGAGGTGCGTTAAACATGCAACTGGTTTTATGGTTGAAATATATTTTTTTTTCAATAACCAGTCTATGCATTTTATTCCAAAATATGCATATATATAAAAATCAAGTAGCAATAATAATATTAAAACAAACCTGTCAGTACAGATCATTCTAACACCATTGCAATGTTCCAGCAATTTTGCAGAAACATTGCAAACATTGCAACAGCGGTGTTACAAGCTTTTGTGCTGTATAGAAATATATCGCAATATTGTGTTTTCGATATAACGGAATTATTTTATTAATACAATAATTCTGTTATGTTGAAAATAATAATTATTATTTACAATTTATTATTTACAATTACAAATTATCATTTATAATTTATTATAGAAATATATTTGTAAAGACTCTACTTGTGAAATAAAAATGTCTCGATTATATATAGCGCGTTCTCGCAAATAGAAAAGTTCTTATCATTTTGCAACAGGTCATACATACCCACTTTTGGATAAAAAGGCACGAGATTGTTGCACAATTGGAGGGATGGATAAGAGATATGGAAATGCATGGATCAGATCGTAGGTCAGGCCGTACAATTTCTCTCAATGCGTTGTCTTTAAGGGTAAGAGTGTTATTTTTATTAAAAAAAAAAAGAAGATGATTCAAGATTTTCGACTTACACAGTTACAGGCATGCTTTACCATATGCATTTCTCTTGTATATTCACAGAGACATTATACATTATTGAGGGAAGAACTAAATAAACTGCCAACGCCCAAAGGGTTGGAAGACTTGGCCGAACCACTTGCATCGCCAGGCTCGCCCATCGAACTATCCGGGACCCCAGGCACAACACCGAATACGCCATCGACGGTTACGGCATCCGCGACCGCTACGGTGGCTACTCCTATCGCCGCTAACAATATAGTTCCGATCAGTAATAGCAGCACGAGTAGCCATGTGCATCACGACATCGATACGGACGTCGAGATGGAGAAGATGGTTTCGAAAATGTGTGAATAGCTAAAGGATGTTAATAGACATTGTTGGACATTTTGAAAAGAGTCTATTGTTTGTGTTACAAGATGAACAAATGGACATTGAACATGAACAGATGACATAACGGACTGATATCAAGTGTGCAGATTATTCTGTCCAGCGGCCGAATTATCGGTGTTTAGCCAAGGCGTTAAGAAAAGAAAACAGTGACGACTTTCGGCCGAATACATAATAATCATATTGATGATAATTATTACAATGATGACGATGCTAAGACGTGATGATGATAAGTAGGTAGAAAAATATAAGGTGTGGTAGAGTGAGAAAGACAAGTAAGAATTTACAATATAGCGAGAAAGTGTGTGAAGAGAAAAAGAGAGGGAGAGAGTGAGACAGAAAGTGAGAGAATGAGTATGCATGGGTGAGAATAAGCGAGAGAGTGAAAGGACGAGAGAGAGAAAGAGAGAACGAAACAGATAGAGGCAAAGAATAAGTAGCGCGAATGTAACAAACTCGTGCGTAGTAGATACTTTTTATAGCCGCTGCTATAGTACGTGTACGCTGCATTCTACTACTTCGTACTACCATAAGTACCACAACTGTTATTCGATATTTATTATACATGTTCCTCGTTTATGTAGCGTAACTCTGAATTAGCTGCACTTTCATGCGAATATAATCTTGGACATTACGTTTATCGTCCTCTCCTTGTCGCTCGTGTCTTCCGAGAGCGACGCGATCGCAATTCCGCTATCAATGCCCGTGTAAGTTTTCGTTTTATCGACATTTTATTTTATCAATAATTATAGTACTTGTTTCTCTTTTATATATGCATATGTATGGTGTGTATATGTACAATTCTATCGCGTCGTTCTCTTCGTTTTAAATGTATTTCTCTATTAGGATGTAATATGATTATACTTTATCAAGCGATTTACTATGTAGATCCCGTTTTTTAGTAAACATCTCTTCAGGGATGCACGATGCAATCATTGAGCATTAAATGGCTCGTTATCAAAAGCTGCGGGCGGCAAAGAAGAGACAATATAAAGCATGTTGGCACTACATGTTGGCAGAAGTCAGTTTGTGACAGGTGCAACTAATTACGAGTTATTGATGTAGCGGGTATCCCTGCGCGCAATGCGATCGAATCTAAATAACAACTGTCATCCGAACAAGACGACGATCTAGGTACATCGTTAGATAACGTTTAATAATAATAGTACGTGTTCTATGTCGATTGAATGAACTGGAAAAAAATGGTATCCTGGAAACAGAAAAAAAATCATGGATGATCAGGTGGTACATTTCTCGCGTAAACGAGAATTGCTCTTTGTAATTGTAACAGCTACTTAGTACACGTAAATTTCATATGAATCGACCATATGGAACGAATAAAGTCACATTGTTTTGAGATAGTCTCTTCCTGTTTTTCGTCCGGATTTATTCGTACCAGTTACAACTTGGAATTACATCCCAGCCGAGGACAAGAACAGATGTGCAATTAATTAAATATTCTCTATGCTCCTATTATTTAATATATATTTCATTTTTTCAAAATATTTTAAAGAATGTAAAATGATAGAAATTTATATTATTTATATTATTTATATCTTTGAAAAAATAATGCTTTAAAATATTTGTATCATATTATATTTGTGTGTATAAATTTCATATTTTTAAAAAATACTTGAAAATGATATTTTGAAGAGAGAAATACTTTTTAGAAATATTTATACATTTTTAAAAGAGATGTTTTAAAATATTTATGATATACTTTTATATATTTAATTTAATAGTTTGAAAATAAAAAATATATATATTTAAAAATATACTTCTTAATAATATTTTAAAAAGAGTTGACGCTTTAGAATATTTACATTTTTTTAAAAGAGATGTTTTAAAACATTTATATTATTATTATATTTATGTTATATTAAATTTTACGCGAATTTGTTTTTCTAAGATAATGGAATTGCGTAATTAGATGAAAGAAATAGAATACCTATTTTTTATTACTTTTTAAAAAAGCAGAATCAGTGAGAGAATTAAATACCGTTTCAAATTTTGCGCTCTCTAAGTACTACGATTCATCGAATCGAGATAGGTGGCGGATTTGAAGCTCAAGAGCTAACTTCTCAGAAGACGCGATCGATGCAATGATACGGCTCATAAGATTGAAATTTTTTTGAAATTGCAAACGCACAATATGTCGAAATCTTACATTCGATTTTTCCACGGAAAAAATTCCTTTCGGAAAAAGGTTTGTTAAATTTCTTATTCATAAATATACATGCGACATCATTTATGCGCGTCCAAAATAGATCTCAAATATCTATTGATTGGCAAATAAAGGACAGTCCTCGGTTATGTTCTCAATCTATATCGATGAACGAGGTTGCGGGGAAACTTCTCACTGAGATTATTGGGGATTTCGAAAAAATTCGAATTTTTTTCTTCTAACGCTCAGTGTGAGCGACGGAACAGGGCGGGAAATGGATGCCGGGCAAACTGCAAATTAACGCAGGTCATTTAAGCGATAGTCCAGAATATTTTCCGAGGAATCACAAGCATTATTCATGAATATTGCTAAGTGCATTGTACTGGTAAAACAGAATATAAACTAACAGTATAACATTAAGTACATTAATATTATAATTTCTTACTCAATAATCCATATAGCAAAGAAGCTTGCAGCAACATTGTAACGTTTCAACAATATTGCAGCAACATAATTGCAACGTTTCAGTATAATATTACAATAACATTGTAAATATTACTACAGCAATGTTGCTGCGAGCTTCTGTGATGTGTAGAATTACATTTATAACTGTTGAGCGGGAAATTTAATATTATAATATAATGTTCCTGTCAGATCGTATTCTGCGGGAAGATGGTAGTCGCGGAGAAGTGAGCAGTGTGAATTATACGACGGCGAGATCGTTGTCCGTAGCCGGTGCGTCGGTCGACAACGGTGGGAAGGCGCGGGAGAGAAACGCCGGGGGGAGGGGACAGGGGGTGGCGGAGGTCGCGAGGCCTCGGGCGGCCCGGCGCGCACTTCAGTTCAGTTCAGTTCAGGCCTCGCGGATCGCCCGGCCGGGCGTGGGGCCGATCGTCAACGCTCCGGATCGTCTCGCACCGCGCCGCCGGAGAGGATCGCACCCAACCGATCGATCGATCGATCAATCCGACGATCGTCTCTGTCGCCGATCCACGGATTCGCTCCACTAGTCGTTCGTCGGCGCGCGCACGCACGCGGCATTGGCGGCATACTTCAGTTCGCGTTACGGGGCGATCTGCGATCTGTTGCGGGTGGTAAGTATCTCATAATTCATTATATTCATTGAGAGGAACGCGACGAAGCGATGGGACAATGCGATCCGCGCCGCGATTGTCTCGTGTCTCGTGTCGCGTCAGGTGTATCCGCCTCCCGCGAGCGACTCTCGCCCGCGAAAATGAGTTAACGCCGGCACCGAGACGCGTTACGCAATATTTAAATTCGTATTTTTAGGTTTAGGAATCGTATGCGCGCGCGCGCGCGCGCGTTCGTCCGCCTGCCAGTGATACGCTCGCCTGATGAGCTCTCGTTCGGAAGATCAGGTCTCATGAGGCGCGGATTGGGAAGCTGCGGAAATCTCTGATCTGCTTTCCCGTAAGATCTTAAGGATCGATTCCCACTTAAAAGGACGGCGAGGCAGAATTTCCGATCGACTCCCCGCGTAAAATCGCGACGTTTAAAACCGCGTCTTACCGTATCGCGTCCTCGCTGATTCTCCTTACGTCGGCTTACAGCGGACGTCTACTTCGAAGGTGGAGTTATCGGTAAGCCGTGCGGCTGCTATTTGCATTAAACCAAGATTTGGAGTCAACGCTCGTAGCGGTACGTGACAAGGCAGGTGGTAACATGTGTACAGCCAGTGTAAATTTAACACAGGTTAAAATCAGGCGTATGTGTATGCGTGCATATGTGTGTGTGTGTGTGTGTGTGTTGTGTGTGAGCACAAGTTGAAAATGCACACTACCGGTTTCCATCTAGTTTGCACTCCCCTCGCTGCGCCCGGTCTTGTCTGCGGGCGCCCGATGTTAAGCCTGATTCACGCAGCCGCCGGCAGGAACGTTATACAATATGATTTATGGATGTAGAGATAGCTCTGCTGACAGTCACCGATATACGGATCGACATACCGATGACAGGCAGGTCGGAAGGAATCGATATCGTTGGGTTCTAATTCATGCTCCAACCCACTCAATCCCTGTCAAATTGAATACTCCGAAAAATAAGATACAACTATGGGGATTAATCCTTTTTGATACGTTCAATTTTCTAGTTGCCATTACTTTTCCGAGTGAAGATTGTTTATTTTTAACAATAACTGCTTTTTTCGTATCAGGAGAAAACTGCGGTAGAGATTCGAAACTTAAAGTATCTTGGAATAATCTTGATTGCTTCACGATTGACATTCACGTATTTTCTTGAAAAATGCAGGGGATGCTCGTAAATCCTAGGGAAAACTGTGAAAGTTGGAGATTCCAAATTGACCCTTTGGAAATTTTGCGTAGTAATTCGCACTTGTATATTTCTGTGTACAACATGAGGATTTCTCACAAATTATAAAAAAGTTTGTGGAGTTGGATACTCCAAAATATTTAAATTTCACTTTGCAGTCTGCATTTACGCATTTCTTTGTACAACGTGATTGTTTATATATAAATTAAGGAGAAAACTCTGGACACTCCAAAATACTCAGAATCTTATTTTATAATCTGCATTCGTGTATTTTGTTGTACAACGCGAAGAAATCGTATAAATGATCGAGAAAATCGAGTGGAGCTGAATGCTCCAAAAAATTTTAAATTTATCTTTGCAGCTCGCATTCGTGCATCTCTTTATACTATGAAGGATTCTTATAAATCTTGGAAAAAACTGTAGACACTTCAAAATATTCAAAACTTTATTTCGTGATCTGTATTTGCATATTTCTTTGTACAACGCGAAGAATTCTTATAAATGATAAATTAATCGTACAATTAGATACTTGAAAATATTCAAACTCTTCTCTTTACTATCCGTATTTGCATGTTTTCTTACATAACATGAAGGATTTAAATTATAGAGGAAACTATGGAGTTGAATATACCAAAATATTTAAGATTTCGTTTTGCGAGCCACATTCACGCATTTCTTTATACCGTATGATTCTTATAAATAATACAGATAATTTTGTAGCGCGGGATATTTCAAACTTATCTTAAAACTTCGTTTCGCGATTTATACTCGCACATTTCCTTACACAATGTGAGGAATTCTTATAAATCACGGAGAAAACTATGGAGCTGGACACACACACACACACACACACATTCCAAAATATCTTAAAACCTTACCTCACGGCCCTCATTCGCGCATTTTCTTGTACAACGTAAACGATTCTTATAAATCATGAAGAAAACGGCGAGATTGGACACTCCAAAATATCTTGAAATCTCACTTTACGATCCGTATTTGCATATTTCCTTACTCAACGCAAGGAATTCTCGTAAATCATAGAAGAAACTGTGAAGTTGAACACTCCAAAATATTCGATACTTCCCTTTGCGGTTCGTATTCAAGTATCCTTGGATACCGACAAAAGATTCTCTTTTATGTGTAGTTACTGTGCAACGCTTTGCAATGTTTTGTTCTTTTCCTTGCGTGTTTATGACTTTTTCCCCGAGGCAATAATAGTTGTTAAATTAAAACCCCTTCGACTACCATGTTTAA